GCTGCACGGCCGCGGCCGTACTTCGTTCCGCTCCTTGAGCAGGTTCTTGGTCTTCCGCCCTCTACTAGTCCTGCTCCTCCCTTAGAGTGTCCACAGCCTGTCCTGTCCGAGTCACAGTTACAGCCCGCCTCCCCTCTGCCTGCTCCTTCTCCCTACACTGGTCCTACTGGAGGTCTTGCTGAGCGTCGTGAGCCTGCGTCTCGTCCTGCGTCGCCTGTCCGTGCTGCTCGCACTGGTGGTCGTGGTTCGCGTCAGCGTCCTCCCCCTGTTCCCGGCACGCACCAGATGTCTCTGCGTCCTTCCACTGCTCCGCTGCGTGCCCCTTTGCCTTCTCCTCCTGCGTCCTCTCTTCCTGCTCTTGCTGACCCAGAGTCGGACTCCCTTCGTGCTGCCAGTCCTACTGTCACACGTCTCCTTGCTACTGTTGTCACTGACCCTTCCTTTGAGTCCACTGCTGCGTCAGCCTTAGTTGCTGAGCTTGTCGACTTCGCTGCTCGCTGTCGTCTAGACTACGCTGCTAGTCTTGTTGCTGAGTCTGAGTCTGTCTGTCCTCCGTCCGTCGGGGGTGAGTGTGCCCTTGGCACGGACGTCCTTGAGGACAGGCAGGAGGAGTTCCAGTGCTTTGCTGCTGCTTCACCTCATCTTGTGTCCATGCTGCTTGCCTCTGAGGGAGACCCGGATGCACCAGACATCCCGACTCCGCGCTCTTACGCAGAGGCGGTTGAGGGTCCCTACTCCTCTCAGTGGCAGGCAGCCATGGACGCAGAGATGGCTTCCTGGAAGTCCACAGGCACCTACGTTGACGAGGTTCCCCCACCTGGGGCGAACATCGTCAGTGGCATGTGGATTTTCAGGGTGAAGCGGCCGCCGGGTTCTCCGCCTGTCTTCAAGGCACGTTACGTGGCTCGAGGCTTCAGTCAGCGGCAGGGAGTTGACTACTTTCAGACCTTCTCTCCCACCCTGAAGATGACCACTCTTCGGGTGCTGCTACACATAGCCGCTCAGCGCGACTACGAGCTTCACTCTCTTGACTTCAGCACTGCTTTCCTGCAGGGCAACCTGCACGAGGAGATCTGGCTGCGCCGCCCACCTGGCTTCACTGGGTCGTTTCCTCCTGGTACCCAGTGGAGCCTCTGGCGGCCAGTCTACGGTCTCCGCCAGGTGCCTCGTGAGTGGCACGACACACTGAGGACTACACTTGCGGCTCTTGGGTTTGCTCCTTCTACTGCCAAACCGTCGCTGTTTCTGCGCACCGACACCTCTTTGCCGCCGTTCTACATCCTCGTGTACGTCGACGACTTGGTCTTTGCCACAGCTGACACTGCTGGACTCGCCCACGTGAAGTCCGAGCTGCAGAAGAGACACACGTGCACAGACCTGGGTGAACTGCGCAGCTACCTTGGCTTGCAGATCACTCGGGACAGAGCACAGCGCACCATTACCCTGACTCAGTCACACATGGTGCAGCAGGTCCTTCAGCGCTTCGGCTTCACGTACTCCTCGCCTCAGGCCACTCCTCTGTCTACTCGCCACTCGCTCTCAGCTCTGCCTTCGGATGAGTCCGTAGAGCCGAGTGGCCCGTACCCAGAGCTTGTTGGCTGCCTCATATACCTGATGACCTGCACTCGACCTGACCTTGCATACCCTCTTAGCATCTTGGCACGCTATGTTGCTCCTGGCAGACACCGACCAGAGCACATGGCTGCAGCGAAGAGGGTGTTGCGCTACTTGTGCAGTACATCGGGCATGGGGCTCGTGCTTGGAGGGCGGAGTCCAGTGGTCCTCACTGGTCACGCAGACGCGTCTTGGGTTGACGACTTGGCTACGCAGCGGTCGTCACAGGGTTACACCTTCAGCCTTGGTTCCGGTTCTGTTTCGTGGCGGTCTACCCGCTCGTCTTTTGTTCTCAGCTCTAGTTGTGAGGCTGAGATCTACGCGGGGGCCATGGCTGCACAGGAGTTACGCTGGCTCACCTACGTGCTGACTGACCTTGGAGAGCCACCTCGTTCTCCTCCAGTTCTGTACGTAGACAACAAGGCCATGCTGGCCTTGTGTCGGGAGCACAGACTGGAGCACAGAACGAAGCACATTGCTCTTCGCTACTTCCTTGCTCGTGAGCTGCAGCAGCGTGGTCAGCTCCGACTTGCTTACGTGGCCTCTCAGGCCAACACTGCTGATGTCTTCACCAAGGCACTCCCGCCTTGTGATCATCAGCGTTTCTGTACTCTGTTAGGTCTTGTGCCTACTTTACCTCACTTGCTCACCTCTTGACCTTGCTTGTACTGTGGCCTATATATATATACCTGCACTTGCATGTTTAGCCTTATATATATATAATCCTGCATGTGAACTGGCCTTGTGGCCTTTGAACTTGTGCTCAGAATGTGTGGTGACGTTGTGATCCACCCTGAGCTTGCTGTGCTTTGCTTGACTGGTCTTGTGACCCCTTGTTCTCCCCCACTTTGCCTATGGGGGTGTGTCAAACTTATATGCTATAGCCTGTGTAGGCTGTAGTGGGGTAGCTCATATGGGGTACAACACTTTAGGGTTTGGTACTTGTACTCCTCATGCTGCTCAATGCAATCATTCCTCGTTATTCTAACATACCCAACTCATTTCCTAGTCAATCATTCCTTATTTCTCACAGGAAACACTGGGAGTCAGTAGCAGACGGGCCCTCTACTTACAGGTCACGCGGCTTGCCCGACCAAATCGACCCTCACCGAGTGATTGTGGCGGTTCATGCAATCGACCACACCCGGCCGAATAAGGAGGGCACCACGGTAGACAGCCACATACTGCTTAGTGGGAAAATTGGGACAGACTTAGTTAAAATATTTGTAGACGGGGAAGGCAACCAGAGCCTGATCAACACTGCTACGGCACTGAAACTGAGACTGCCACTGGACAGGTGTTTACCTGAGATTGACGCAAGACTGGTCGACTGCACGCCATTGGCGATACGGGAACGCGTGGACCGAGTTCGGATTCGATGCGAGGGTAAATTCACGTTTAGTAAGGAAATGCTCGCGACAACCCTCGATGGAACCGACATTTTACTCGGCCGTGATTGGCTGCGACTACACAATCCGCGAATCGACTGGACGACGGGTGTCTGCACCATGCGAGTAAACGGTAACAACATCGCCTTACCTTGTTGGGGCTCGCTTGAGTCTTCGTCGGTGCGTGTCAACACAATCACGATGAAACGCGCCATAGCGGCAGGAGGTGACGTGTACGCAATCGACATTCGGGAAGCCGAGGCAGCAGACAAAGGGGGGGATTTACAGAAACTGCTAGCGGACGTACTGGATGACTTGGCAGCGCTACGGAAGTAGTACTGTGGGATTTTCCCGGATGACCTGCCGACAGGATTGCCACCTCAATGACCGCACGACCACATGATAGAATTAGAACCGGGGGCACAACCAACAGTACAGCGACAATTCCGGCTGACCCAACCCAAACTGGACGAACTACGGAAGCAGCTGGATTATCTGCTCGAGAAGGAGTTCATTCGCCTGAGTTCGTCACCCTTCGCAGCGCCGATACTGTTCACACCGAAAAAAGACGGAGGTTTTCGCACGTGCATCGATTACCGTGCACTGAACAGGGTTACCATCAAGTCCCGTTACCCCATCCCACGAGCCGACGAACTGATCGACCAACTGCGCACAGCCCGAGTTTTCTCGAAAATCGACCTTCGAGGAGGTTACCACCAAATCCTCGTCAAACCACCCGACTGCCTGAAAACAGCTTTCCGAACACGCTACGGATCCTTCGAATACACCGTCATGCCCTTTGGACTGACCAACGCCCTCGCCACTTTTCAAATGACCATGAACAAAGCCTTTCGCCCCCTTTTAGATAAGTGCATCATTGTGTACCTCGACGACATACTGATTTACAGCACCGACAGAGCACATCACCTACAGGACATCGACGCAGTTTTTAAAATTATGAGTGAGAACCGCCTACTGACAAAAGCCTCCAAGTGTGAGTTTTTACAAGACAGACTGGAGTTTTTAGGGCACGTTATTTCAGCTGACGGAGTTGAAATAGACCCGAAAAAGATCGCGATGATTCAAGCATGGCACGCGCCGACAAATTTGACTGAGTTGCAGAGTTTTTTGGGGTTCGTCAACTACGAGCGCCGGTTCGTCCCCGACATGGCGAAGTTGACTGCTCCATTGACCGACCTGCTGAGGAAGGGGGGTGAGTACACATGGGGGAGAAAGAGCAAGCTGCCTTCTCGGCCCTCAAAAATATTTTGTGCTCACTATCAGAATCGTAGGTGAAACGAGGCTTAGGAGAAACCGTAGCCAAGGTGAGTGTCGAGAGAAAAGTCGCGAAGGGAATGATGGCATTAGGTCATGAGGGGGGTACAAGTATAATGTCAAGAGTAATCTTGTACCCCCTAAGGCTAAACCCACTACAGCCTAAGTAATCATAAGCACATATGTTTTGACACACCCCCATAGGCGAAGTGGGGGATAGCCATGGCAAGCAATGGTCATAAGACCAGTCAAGAGAATAAGCAAATCAAAGCAAAGCTCAGGGTGGATCTCAAGATCACCACGCACTCTGAGCACTAGCAAGCGGCCACAAGGCCAGTCCAAGAGGTTACATAAGATATATAGGTGCGAGTACAAGCAGAGCAAGGCTACGGCAGACGAGCAAAAAAGTCAACAAGCCACCGCCTCACCCTCCCCCCACAGTGGCACGCGCGGACGTGAGAGAGAGGAGGAGGCGTGGCGACATTTGCTGCAGTTGTGTCACCCACCACCCACATCCCCTGAGCCTCCCCACCACTTCACACTCCCCCCCACAGCAGCAGGTGCGGATGTGAGAGAGGAGGCAGAATGGCGTTGTAGGTGCAACCTCCCCCTCACCCCCTCCCCTCCCCTCCCCCCCCTTCCCACCCAAACTGCTGCACGTGCAACAGGGAGAGGGAGGAGAAGACGGGGGGGAGGGGGGGGGGGGCGGGGTAGTGGCTGTGCATGGGGCTGCATATGCGCGTGCAGAGGGCAGCAGGGCGCACGGGGCGCACAGGGCAGCAGGGCAGTAGGGCAGCAGGGCGCGCGGGGCGCGCAGTGCTGCAGGGCGCGCGGGGCGCGCAGGGCAGCAGGGCAGCAGAACGCGCGGGGCGCGCTGGACAGCAGGGTGCGCGGGGCGCGCAGGGCTGCAGGGCGCGCGGGGCGCACAGGGCAGCAGGGCGCGCGGGGCGCACAGGGCTGCAGGGCAGCAGGGCGCATGGGGCGCACAGGGCTGCAGGGCGCGCGGGGCGCGTAGGATAGCAGGGTGCACGTGGCGCACAGGGCTGCAGGGCGCGCAGGGCAGCATGACAGCAGGGCGCGCGTGGCGCGCAGGGCTGCAGGGCGCGCGGGGCGTGCAGGGCAGCAGGAAGGGGGTGCAAGGGGCACTCACGAGGGAGTGCAAGGGGCACTCACGAGGGGGTGCAAGGGGCACTCACGAGGGGGTGCGAGGGGCACCCACGAGGGGGTGCGAGGGGCACTCACGAGGGGGTGCAAGGGGCACTCACGAGGGGGTGCGAGGGGCACCCACGAGGGGGTGCGAGGGGCACTCACGAGGGGGTGCAAGGGGCACTCACGAGGGGGTGCGAGGGGCACCCACGAGGGGGTGCAAGAGGCACTCACGAGGGGGTGCAAGGGGCACTCACGAGGGGGTGCGAGGGGCACCCACGAGGGGGTGCGAGGGGCACTCACGAGGGGGTGCAAGAGGCACTCACGAGGGGGTGCGAGGGGCACCCACGAGGGGGTGCAAGGGGCACTCACGAGGGGGTGCAAGGGGCACTCACGAGGGGGTGCGAGGGGCACCTACGAGGGGGTGCGAGGGGCATTCACGAGGGGGTGCAAGAGGCACTCATGAGGGGGTGCAAAGGGCACTCATGAGGGGGTGCGAGGGGCACCCACGAAGGGGTGCGAGGGGCACCCACGAGGGGGTGCAAGGGGCACTCATGAGGGGGTGCGAGGGGCACCCACGAGGGGGTGCGAGGGGCACTCACGAGGGGGTGCAAGAGGCACTCACGAGGGGGTGCAAAGGGCACTCACGAGGGGGTGCGAGGAGCACCCACGAGGGGGTGCGAGGGGCACCCACGAGGGGGTCCAAGGGGCACTCACGAGGGGGTGCGAGGGGCACTCACGAGGGGGTGCAAGAGGCACTCACGAGGGGGTGCAAAGGGCACTCACGAGGGGGTGCGAGGGGCACCCACGAGGGGGGTGCAAGGGGCACTCACGAGGGGGTGCGAGGGGCACCTACGAGGGGGTGCGAGGGGCACTCACGAGGGGGTGCAAGAGGCACTCACGAGGGGGTGCAAGGGGCACTCAGATACCCTCCTCCCACTGCGGCACCCGCAGAAGGGGGATGGAGGAGAAGGGGGGGGGGGGGGTGGCTGGGACGGTGTAGAAGTTGCTCGGGCAACAGCAGGGCGCGTGACGGGCAGGAACCCGTCATTCGCCACCCCCGCCACCCCCATACCCTCCCCTGTCAGAATCCCAGTCACTAGACCACTGGGATAAAAGGACTTTTTAAGTAGTGGGTCAGTGCGCCCATAACCCCCCAGGACAACGAGCCTGTAACCCTTCCCTAGGATCAATCGGGGATCACCAGTGGACCTCTAACATCCCCCCCCCTGCTGTACGATCAGGGGGGTGCAGGGGCTGTGTGGGCGACCGCAGGTCGCAAGAAAAACATCCGCCACCCCCTCACACCCTCTCCCCGCAGCAGCGGACGCAGCCGTGAGAGAGGAGGAGGCGTGGCGGCAGTTGCTGCTGCTGAGGCACATCCGCCACCCCCTCTCACCCTCTCCCCCACTCCCCCCCACAGCAGCAGGCGCAGATCCCCTCCCACCCCACTGCTACACCCGCAGCAGGGGGATGGAGGAGAAGGGGGGGGGGGGGGCGGGGGGGCTGGTGCTGCAGATCCCCTCGTGCAGCAGGGGGATGGAGGAGAAGGGGGGGCGGGGGGGGATGGTGCTGCAGATCCCCTCCCCCCCCTTGCTGCACCCGCAGTAGGGGGATGGAGGAGAAAGGGGGGGCTCGGGGGGGCGGTGTAGGAGCCGCTCGGGCGACAGCAGGGCGCGCGACGGGCAGGAACCCGTCGTGCACCACACCCGCCACCCCCATACCCTCCCCCCACTGCTGCACGGGCAGCAAGGGGATGGAGAAGAATGGGGGGGGGAGGGGGGGTGGCTGCTGGCTTGGTGACGAAGCAGAGCAGCGGGGCGCTGGAGGTGCAACCCCCCCCCAACACCGCTCCTGCGTCCCCCAAGCACCCTCCCCCCCCTTTTCCCCCGCCCAAACTGTTGCACGCAAGGTAGGACGGGCGCGAGCGTCGGGCCGGGGGCCGGAGCCTAGGGGCGACGGGGCCGACGGGCCTAGGCGCGGCGGGCGCGAGCGACGGGCCTAGGGGCGACACGCGACGAGCGACGGGCCGGAACCGGGGCCTAGGGGCGTCGAGCGCGAGCGACGGGCGACGGGGCCGAGGCCTAGGGGCTACGGGCCGAGGGGCGACGGGCCTAGGAGCGACGGGCCTAGGGGCGACGGGCACGAGCGACGGGCCGGGGCCGAGAGCTAGGGATGACGGGCGCGAGCGACGGGCCGGGGCCAAGAGCTAGGGGAGACGGGCGCGGGGCGACGGGCCGGGGCCTAGGGGCTACGGGCGACGGGCCGTGCCGAACGTCGAGAGGAGGGCCGCACGAGGGCGGCGCGCAGGGCAGCAGGTGGTGGGCCCAAGGGTCGTAACAGCTCTTAATACCATATCATAATCGTAGGTGAAACGAGGCTTAGGAGAAACCGTAGCCAAGGTGAGTGTCGAGAGAAAAGTCGAGAAGGGAATGATGGCATTCGGTCATGAGGGGGGTACAAGTATAATGTCGAGAGTAATCTTGTACCCCCTAAGGCTAAACCCACTACAGCCTAAGTAATCATAAGCACATATGTTTGACACTCAACGCCCGTGCTTCGCATCGCAGATCCTCACCGTCCGTTCGAGCTCGTCACCGACGCAAGTGACATTGATGTGGGAGCAGTACTGTTGTAGGACTTCGGGAACGACCTTCAACCAATCACGTACGAGTTCCGCAAAATTCACCCGCCCGAACACAACTACCCGATACACGACCGCGAGATGATGGCGATCGTGCACGCGTTCAAGGTGTGGCGGTGCTACCTGACAGGAGCCGATGTGTCAGTACGGACAGACCATCATGCACTACAGTACCTTCACGCCCAACTGAATCTCAACCCACGACAGATCCGCTGGTTGGACTATCTGGAGTCCAACTTCCACTACACCGTCACGTATAAAAAAGGCGCATCAAACATCGCCGACGCAATCACCCGCCCCACCGCCCAACTTCACGCCATCCTACTCGCCCAAACCAACCCACTGTTAACAGGCCTATTCACCCACTGATATCGCACCAACCCATTTTTCATGACCGGAAATTCACAGCAACTGGCAGAAGCTAAGGGAGTCTATTATGTAAAAATAGGCACCAACCGCATCTGGGTACCCGCGTACTCACTACTGAGGGAAATATTACCGCAGGAGGCACACGACGGGGTTACCTCAGGTCACTTCGGGGGAGAAAAAACGCGACAGCAACTGCAGCGGTATTACTACTGGCCGGAGCTGTTGACCGACGTACAGCACCACGTGGGCTCGTGTCCTATGTGTCAGGTGATGAAGAGCTCGCGAAAAAGAAAGGCGGGTCAGTTGCAACCGATTCCACCGCCCGAGCGCGCCTGGCAGCACGTTACCATGGATTTCGTCACAGGGTTACCTTTGAACCCTGGGGGTAATGACGCGGTAATGGTTATCGTTGACAGATTGACGAAAATGGCTCACTTTGCTGCGAGCAGGAAACCGATCTTAGCCGAAGAAACCGCTCGCCTGTTCATCGCAACCGTCGTTCGACTGCACAGGATACCAGCCGCAATCATCTGCGACCGCAACACGAAGTTTACCAGCAACTTCTGGAAGAACCTCTAGGAGTAGTTCGGGACCAGGCTACAGTTCAACTCGTCGTACCACCCCAAGACCGACGGTCAAACGGAGCGGACGAATCGGACGATGGAGCAGTTGATTCGTGCCACGTGCGACGACCCGACAACATGGGAGCAGCAGCTGCCGCTGATCGAGTTCGCATACAACAACGCCACGTCAGCAACGACGCAGCAGTCCCCGTTTTACCTGAACTACGGGCAAAACCCAACAGTGCCCATGGCGCCGAGTCCGGAAAACCCAACGCCATGCGCATAGAAATTTGCCGAGATTCCGCAAGCTGCCCGCACCAGAGCCGCAGAAGAAATAAAAAAGGCCAACGTCATCGCAAAACAAAATGCTGACCGCCACCGCCGTCCAGTCACGTACCAATCAGGGAATTATGTACTGTTCGACACACAGAACTTAAGACTGCGCGTCGTACCGAAATTACGATCGCGCTACTGTGGACCATTCCAAATCATCCACATGATCACCCCAGTCACCGCCCATTTACTGTTACCGACAGACTGGTACGTCAGCCCATCATTCCATGTCAGCCTGCTTCGCCCTTACATCCCAACCACGAGCCAACTGCCTCGTCACTGCCTGTCATCCATGACTCGCCCTGTATCGGAGCCGATCATTGAGCCCGAAAAGATTCTGAGCCATCGGATTTGACACCCCACATGCATCAAAAGGATCGAGTTCCTCGTTCGCTGGAAGGACCGCACGCCAACTGAGGATAGTTGGGTGCCCCTGGCCAACATTGAAAACCACCCTGCCCTGCAAGTGTACCTGAGGAGCTGGGGTTTCCGCGATATACACGCACTCGCGTAGCGGAGGGGGCTTCTTGAGGTGGGGAGTAGTGTAAGGAATTTTCTCGACATTCCTTATCGCGACCATCAACATCGCGTACAAGCAGCAGCCGTTGTTCGCCCGTTACTGCTAACGGGGCTTCGCCAACTTCGCGCGCACTGTTTCACCAAACCTTGCATCGCTGGCCCCGTCGAGTCGGCCTACGCTTTGGGACTAGCCCGAACCTCCATGCCAGCGTAGCACTAGCTAGCTCGCACGCACCGCGTAACCGTTGCATGTTTCGCACATAAGTATTCGCTCATGCCTTCGCTCATACTTTGTACTCACTGAACACACTAGTGCAATCCTCGCTACCTCGATTCATTGCACCCGTAACACCACCTTTCAACACACCATTCACATAATTGATACCCCTTATAAGTGACTAGTGGTAGAGAACCTACCGTATTACCCCGGATAGTAGCGCATATGTGCTTATAATAAAATCAGTTTTTTTAAGGGGGGCGCTTGTAATTTAATATCGGCCATAAGCGCCGGCGCTCATATAACGACAAATACAGAAATACAACTTAAGCGCACCAAATTGTACATTTCAGTCTCGTAAGTTGAATCGAATCGGAATTTTACAGGGTCCAGAATCAGAATCGTGCGAGGTCGATTTTTTGACGGTGCACAGAGCTTTGGCACGTCATTTTGCCCGCGTGCCAACTCATACTGACGGGACGCGCAACCAGTAGGTCCTCGAAAGTTAAACAAAGTGAAAATGGGGGTGTTGACTCGCTAGAAAATTGAATTTCGTTACCGTTTTAACCAGCATTGAAAATTAAAAATTTGCATGCGCTCATAATATGTCAGTGTTTTACAGGGGGGGGGGGGGGGGGGGGCGCTTATAATCGAATTCCGGCCATAAGCGCCATGCTCCAGATAGAAGCGCCGGCGCCTTCAATTGGACGGCTCCTATATCCGGGGCCATACGGTACTTAACATTCTTTTACACAAGTTGCATTTCAGTCAACCATTACGTAAACTCCACATACTAGCAAACTCTTGGAATATCGACATATATCTATGAACACAAGCAGATGCTACTGCAACAAAAATGCTACCTGGTGCTAGCTGCACCATTATACCGTATGGCCCCGGATATAGGTGTCGTCCGATTAAGGGCGCCGGCGCTTCCATCTGGAGCATGGCGCTTATGGCCGGGACTCGATTATAAGCGCCCCCCCTCTAGTGGGTGTACTTATTATAAGCGCACCCTTTTCACGTTGTGGAGAACTTTTTACAAAAAAAACATCTCTAATTAATACTAAACATCTATAGCTAACATCATCACTGACAATTTTATCTAGCTACAGATTGCAAAGTTTAGCATCTCTACCTAGAAAATCTACTCCTCGTCGGATTCGGGCTCCTGGCAGTTGTTGTCAGAATGTTATTATTGTCTAGCCTGCAGTGGGGTACTCTATAGCGAGTACAACCCAATTAGGGTTTCCTATATGTATGCCAACTGCTGCTAGTGCAACGACTCCTTCCTTCATTCTTGTTTCACACTTCTTGATTCTAACATGGTATCTAGAGCGAGCACGTTCCTGCCGTTTCCCTTAACGGGCCCACCAACTGCTTCCACTGTCGTTCTGTCTGTCGCGCGCCCCGTGGCGCGCGACGTGTTATTTTCTTTCCGCCACGCGCTCCGAGCGCGTGGCGGCTTTTTCTGCCCGCCACGCGCTCGGGGCGCGTGGCGGTTTCACCGTCCGTCGAGGCGCCCTCAGGGGGGCCTGCGCGCTGCCCTCCCTGTCGCCCGTCGCGGAGCCCCCGGGGGACCTGCGTGCTGCCCTCCCGTCGCCCGTCGTTGCGCCCCCGGGTGGCCTGCGCGCTGCCCTCCCCGTCGCCCGTTGCGGCGCCCTCAGGGGGCACGCGCGCGGCCCCCCGTCGCCCGTCGAGGCGTCTTCGGGGGGCCTTCGCGCTGCCCCTCTCTGTCGCCCGTCGCGGCGCCCGTGGGGCCTGCGAGCTGCCCCCCCCCCCCCCCGCCGCAGCGCCCTCGGGGGGCACGCGCGCCCCCCCCCCCCCCGTCGCCGACCCTGCAGCAGCGCGCGAGCCGCCCCTGCACCAGCAGCAGCTCACGACGCCGCCCCTGCAGCAGCGCGCGACCCGCCCCTGGCCCCTGGAGCAGCCGCCCCTGGCCCCTGGAGCGAGCCGCCACTGCAGCTCCTCCTCCTCCTCCGTCTCCCACTGCTGCAGCTGCCGCTG